GCTGTTGTATATCGTTGTAAGTTTATTATCGTAAGACAAAAAAAAACCATGTCGGTTAGAGGTCGTAACTTACCGTCACTTGATGACTGATACTATCTACAATCACGGCATTGAGTGCTGTTACTTACGCTACAGATTCTGGTGGTTCCGGTTGCCATTTACGCCTCCTCCTCCGAGTTATTGCCAATAGACAACATAATACAATTGCCAGTAGAACCAGTAACAGAAAGCCGGCCAGGACCGGAAGTATTACGTTATAAAACATATCGTCTTCTGTTAGCTTTGGTAGGGAACAATTACTCCCTATATAAGCCGGTTCGCACCTACAACACAAGTTTTACATAATTAGTTTCTGTTCCCTTGATTATGCAACACTACGTTCATCTGATTCTTAAGAAACCTCGTATGGAACCTTAAGTCATGTTTGCCTCTTTCCCAAAAGGGGTGTCATAGGCAGTTGGTTCCCTTGATCCACCAGATGATAATCATGACGTCAGAACCAAGGGGCTGCTCTTACTATGTTTCAGCTAGTAACCTTCGATAGTAATATTTGTGTCAAGGAAATGTTATACAAATATCATTACGTAAGCTCAATGAACAAATGTAATATTGCGCTAAAAACGGGTTTAATAAAAATTGGAATAGAAAACCATACCTTCAACACAAGATGGGAAGATATAGTTGATGGTAAAAGCAACAATATGAGCCACGGTGACATCAGAGCACAAGGCATCATAAACCCATTAAATACTGGAGACGGACAAGGTTATACAGAGTGGTTAGGGCTTCCTGTTCTAACTTGTATCCAACCAACAGGTGTCCTACTCTAATTAAATGTTTCCTGTTCTATTTGTCATTATTTTGTTACTTTATGTTTAATCTGACTGATATCAATCTATTGCTTGTTAACAATTTATAATTTTCATATATTACAAACACACAAGGGACTGTTTCTAAACCTTTTCTTTGGGTTGGTAAGTATGGATTGTGAAAAGATTCATGAAGCACAACCAAAAAAGTAATTAAATGTAGCACAAAGGTGTAAAATGCGTACGAGTTGTCAAAAAAAAAACGATGTCGATTCGGGTACGCTGTAAGCGTATGTACAATAGTTGTTATATATGTACCGAAATGCTTCGATTCAGCTACGCTTTATTTAACCCAAAGGACTGCTTTGAAATTACAAATACAGGCAATATAAGAGCTAATTAGTGCATTGCACTGAATTACACTGAATTGTATATCAATAATATACATTAAAGTAAAAACGTATTCTTAAAGTTATGGAGACAGTTTCAATTCAGCTGTCATCCATAATGTGACCGATTGCCATATAAGAATTAAAGGAGTCCAGCTTATATTTACATCTGAAAAGTATAAAGGTAGCAGTGTACAGTAGAGGGTTGTGGCCATGGGTGATATTTTTGTTAAATGGCTAACCCCTGTATAATGATATGTAAAAAAATATAAAAATAAAACTGTACTAAAATTGGTATAAGCACATGATGAAGTGGGCTATGTGAGCTTCACATTTGTAAAAAAGAAAGAAGATTTCTTTCGTTCGAGAATAAAATTTTGGCCATAATACGAAAGGGTGCGTACACATGAAAAGCTAGCTTTACAGGAGGTAAAATTTTGACAACAGCACACGACGCAAAATTGCAAAAAATCAAGTTTTACAATTTTACTGGGACCCAGATAATTCTGCAACCAGGTAGGTAATCTTTAATTTCAGACAGACCTTAGGAAAAAAAATACTAGTAGCGGGGGTCAAATTTTGGGTTAAAAATAGCATTTTTTGGCATTTTTTGGTAATTTTTGATGTGGTAACCATGGTTTTCACACAAGTGACATACATAGAAAAAAGAGGTTTATACAATTCTCAGTGCTTTATATGTATTGTAAATGTAATGCAGTTTACAAATTTATATACATGTGTACATGTGTTGTGTAGGGTAAATCCGCTGTGTTTACATTTCCTCGACATGTGCCTTGTTTATCAGAGTCGGGCCATTTCTACTGTATACTGCTACCAAAGAAATGGTGAACTATCGTGTATGCTTATTGTACAAGTAACACCACCATCTGCTTACAAGGTTAATGCTATACAGGAAGAACATATATGACTTAAAATGAGGGCAATGCTATAAATAGGACCACGACTTCCATTACTAGTTGAGCATGGTGACATTATTAGTTCACTGTATCAGTGTACATACCTGCATGCTGGATAAAAGTCATCATTCACGAAACACACGCCGTCATTTTGACAAATGTTTCTGTAGTTATAGATGAAACACATATCAACTACGTCAACTGGAAATAAATAAATAAAACAAAATGAAGTAAGTAGTGTTGATAAAAGAATTCATTTTAAAATATCTTTCATATAATGTAAATAAAATAAGAAATACTTAAAAATAAGAAAAATGATATCAAAAGGTTTATCAAATAGTATTATTATCGAGAAATTTTAACAAATAGACTATCATATGTTGTCAATATTATAGTGTAATTAATAATATCAATATAAATGGACTTTTATATCGTACCAACATTGTATATAATAAACCATCCTCAACGTTTCCACCAACATTCATTATTTAAGTATTTACAGCGAAACCTGTCTCGTTTGACTTGTCACATTTCTCATAAACGAAACCTACCAATTGATACCCAAATGTGTATGGAAATCTCTTCATGGTCGGTTCGAATGTTATGTTTACAATATTACAATTTACTGTTCAAACAGGGTTGAAACATCATTCGGTGATGGTGCTTAGGCAATAATTACAATGTCGGTTAATATACCTGTATCTAGAAGCACTGTTCCATTCGCCGAGAAGAATTCCATTTGTGGTGTACCATTCAGGGGCTTAGTATCATTTCCTAATATAATGCCGCCATTTTCTCGCACGTGCATCAACAATACTCTTCCAAATTTGGTTTTTACATCATCATTTACGGTTGTGTTTACTATGACGTCATACTCTACCGCTACGATGTCATCAATAATACTGTGAATACAAAAAACCCAATAGAATATTTTTACTTCAAGATTAGAAGTTAAAACGATACGAAAATATGTCAAGCGGAAGCAGATGTTCTGGAAGAGCAATCGTTTCTGAACCATCTGCGACACCTGTGTAGATGTGATAAGCAAATATTGTAGGTCACCAAAGATCTTAAATACCGTGAACAAGACTTCAATAGCCTTACACTTTGATTACATGATTACAACCGTACAATTAAATAATGGGAGTCAAGGTTGACATGACAAATACTTATGAATTTGTTCTTGAGGTATAACCTCCAAATGCTAAATCTTAAAAATTAAAACAGACCTATTCAGTATGTAAGCATTGATTGATTCCTAATTTACAGACAGGCTCTTTGTCATTGGTTTCTCTAAGTGTGGCCCAAAGATTATTCCTGTTTACGGCGTCCAACTATTAACGTGTAACAAAATACAGAACCGTATATATTTTGGACACTCACAGATTAACAGAACGAAATACATTACGAAAAGTCTGGAAGAATAAAATCGTACCAACAATCATTGGGGGTATCATTCAGACTATGAAAGCGTGCCTATTATCTAACTATTTACTTACGTGACATTATTGATTCTGATTTTCAGAAAATGTGTTTCATTCGCGTAGATCGCATCAATCTGAAATATCAAGCATACACCATTTTCTTTGACTATAATCAAGAGGTGCCCCGTTACATTCAACAAAGGATATTCACTTAAACATAAAATGCACACGTGATTTTTTAGATGACTGTTATTTAGCGTGTATTTGGAAATTGCCGTTGGTATTTTTGAAACACATGATACACATGCCGGAATGACTTTGGAATTTTATGGATTAAAGTTGGAATTTCCTAACAATCTTTCGATCAATAAAAATATTTTTTTAGTTCCATTCTAAATATTGATGGGTTTTGTGTGTACGTTACGGCACGTAATAACGTTTTTTTTTGTGAGGAAATTATCCCCTTTTCATACGGCATGACTGTTTAAATTTTAGCTCTAAAGCTGACAGTGCAAGTTAAAAAGCTTTCAATTAAGATAGAAAAACCGGTTTGACAGGTAATGTGCTTTTTATACCTAGGGAGACCAATTCCGTCTTTTCGTATTGCAGAGTTATCTGCTCTTGTAAGCAGGTATTGATACATGTAGCTATGTCATTAGTTTGTGTGAGAAAATTACGTCGTTTTCTCAAAAACGTATGATGTTACTCTCACAAACAAATGACGTAACAATCAATACCTGCTCACAAGAGCAGATAACTCTGCAATACGAAAAGACGACATACGCGTTACTAAGCAAGGACAAATTAAAATGTCGGTGCTTCCTTAGAAACAATAGCCGGAAGAGAAAGTCACTGGTGAAGATTTCAAAACAAGAAAAAAAAAATGAATTAAAACCCCCTTTTGTTTGATCTCAATTGAAAGCTCTCCAACTTGCATTGTCAGCTTTAAGTCTCAACTGATTAATCAATTATTAAACTATCAACAAACAGAATTATTACTTTCTATATATATTTAGACAATGATTTACTGCTGACTTACTCCGTATATTAGAGCGAGGTAGGCGGCTGACTGTGTATTGAGGTATGTTGTGACGTCACTGACGGTATCAGACAGAGAAAACTTCATCCCGATACTTCTGTTTCCCACTGAACCTTAAATCCAAATCACAACGGTTACAAAGATGAAATGACGTGTTGCCTTTAACTGCACCCCAAAAATAGTGAACGTTACTTGGAAAAACAGGTTTTCTAAACAAGTTAGCATATAAGGAGTTCTTTTAATAGCTATTTGTAGGATCATACTTTGTTTTTTCCTAAGACAAAACATGCATACTGTTTTAGGAATCTCATCAGTGTGTTTTTTCTAGTTTTTGTCACATTATAATCCGTATAAGATCTGTTAGTATGTTAGATTAGTTAGTATACGATATCAATGTTAATAATATTATAAATGTTAATATATTAATAACGCGATAATACCAAGAACACTATACCCGCTCCTTCAATAATGACGTAGACTTTTCCGTCGTCGTCGTCGGCAGGGAAGCTATCAGTGGAAGCTGTACTTTCTGCAGTAGATGCGGTTAGGTTTTCCCTCTCAAACGAAGGGATATTCTCAAGAGTGTCTGGTGCTTGTGATGCAGTATCAATACCATCAGTGATGGTACCCTCTGTAGTTGTATCTTCAACAGATTTGTTGCTTTCAGTAGTCGATGTGATCGGAAATTCGGTTTCAGTTGAACTTTCTGTGGAAGGAGATATGAAACATCTTACTCCATCGAAAGTAGAACCTCCTGTTGATGTAGGGATTTCTGTTCCAGCGGAAGTGGTACCGTCGGTGGAAGTGGTTGTGAAGCATCTTACGCCATCGAAAGTTGTACCTCCTGTTGAAGTAGGGATTTCTGTTCCAATTGAAGTCGTACCGTCTATGGAGGCTGTTGTGAAGCATCTTACGCTATCGAAAGTAGTACCTTCTGTTGTAGTAGGAACTTCAGTTTCAGTCGAAGTGGTACCGTCTGTAGAACTAGAAGTGAAGCACCGTATGTCACCGGAAGTAGTACCTCCTGTTGTCGTAGGGATTTCTGTTCCATCGGAAGTGGTACCGTCTGTGGAAGTGGTCGTGAAGCATCTTACGCCATCGAAAGTAGTACCTTCTGTTGTAGTAGGGATTTCTGTTCCAGCGGAAGTGGTACCGTCTGTAGAAGTGGTTGTGAAGCATCTTACGCCATCGAAAGTAGTACCTTCTGTTGAAGTAGGAACTTCAGTTTCAGTCGAAGTGGTACCGTCTGTGGATCTAGACGTGAAGCATCGTATGTCACCGGAAGTAGTACCTCCTGTTGTCGTAGGAATTTCTGTTCCAGTGGAAGTGGGTCTGACTGTAGAAGTGGTTGTGAAGCATCTTACTCTATTGAAACTAGAACCTTCTGTTGTAGTAGGGATTTCTGTTCCAGCGGAAGTGGTACTTTCTGTAGAAGTGGTTGTGAAGCATCTTACGTCATCGAAAGTAGTACCTTCTGTTGTAGTAGGGATTTCTGTTCCAGCGGAAGTGGTACCGTCTGTAGAAGTGGTTGTGAAGCATCTTACGCCATCGAAAGTAGAACCTCCTGTTGTAGTAGGGATTTCTGTTCCAGTTAAAGTCGTACCGTCTGTGGAGGTTGTTGTGAAGCATCTTACTCTATCGAAAGTAGTACCTTCTGTTGTAGTAGGGATTTCTGTTCCAGCGGAAGTGGTACCGTCTGTAGAAGTGGTTGTGAAGCATCTTACGCCATCGAAAGTAGAACCTCCTGTTGTAGAAGGGATTTCTGTTCCAGTTAAAGTCGTACCGTCTGTGGAGGTTGTTGTGAAGCATCTTACTCTATCGAAAGTAGTACCTTCTGTTGTAGTAGTAGGAACTTCTGTTTCAGTCGAAGTGGTACCGTCTGTGGAACTAGACGTGAAGCATCGTATGTCACCGGAGGTGGTACCTAATGTTGTCGTAGGAATTTCTGTTCCAGACGGTTTAGTACTTTCAGTGGATGTGAAACATCTTATCCCAACGGGAGTAGTACCTTTTGTGGTAGAAGGAAGGCATATTAACCGAACGGACATGACCCTCTTGGTTTTAAAAGGCGTTTCTGCTGAGTCCGGTGTTGTGGTACCTTTGGTAGATTTCGACGTTTGCATTCTTGATGTTGTGGCATCTTTTCTACTTATGGTCATTTTCATTGTTGATGTTGCTGCCTCTGTTTTAGATGCAGTCCTAATTAAACCAGGTGTGGTGGCCTCTGTTGCAAAGGTCATGTGTTGTTTTGGTTCCACTTTAGTGGTTTGTTGTCTTGTTAGTCTTTCCTTTGTTGTTGACATGTCGGCTTGTATTTCTTGTGGTGTGGCCTTTGTTGTAAACTTGGTCGTAAGTAATCCTAGGGTTTGTACCTCTACTGCAGACGACGTAGTTGTTTGTACTGGCGGTTTTGTTGTTTCTATTGCCGATATGTTCGTATTTATTCCTGGTATTGTGGCCTTTGTGGTAGACGTACTTGTTTGTACTTTTGGTCTTTCTGTCGCTGTGGTAGACGTTGTTTTATGTATCCTTGGTATTTTCCCTGCAGTTATCCAAGATGTTGATCGTATATTTGGGGTCGTGACCTCTGTTGTAGGCTTTGCCGTTTGTATTTTTGGTAATGTTGCCTCTGTTGTAGACTTGGTCGTTATGACTTTTGGTGTTGTGGCTTCTGTCGTAGACGTGGTCGTTCTGACATTTGGTGTTGTGGCCTCTGTTATAGACTTGGTCGTTATGATTGCTGGTTTTGTGGCCTCTTTCGTAGACGTGGTAGTTTGTGGTGTGGTTGCTTCTGTCGTAGACGTGGTTGTGATGATTTGTGGTGTTGTGGCCTCTGTCGTAGAGGTGGTCGTTATGATTGCTGTTGTGGCCTCTGTCGTAGTCGAGGTCGTTATGATTGTTGGTATTTTGGCCTCTGTCGTAGACTTGGTCGTTATGATTGCTGGTGTTGTGGCCTCTGTCGTAGACATGGTCGTTATGATTGTTGGTATTTTGGCCTCTGTCGTAGACTTGGTCGTTATGATTGTTGGTATTTTGGCCTCTGTCGTAGACGTGGTCGGTATGACTTTTGGTGTTGTGGCCTCTGTCGTAGACTTGGTCGCTATAACTCTTGGTGTTGTGGCCTCTGTTGTAGACGAGATCGTTATGACTTTTGGTGTTGTGGCCTCTGTCGTAGACATGGTCGTTATGATTGTTGGTATTTTGGCCTCTGTCGTAGACTTGGTCGTTATGATTGTTGGTATTTTGGCCTCTGTCGTAGACTTGGTCGTTATGACTCTTGGTGTTGTGGCCTCTGTCGTAGACGTGATCGTTATGACTTTTGGTGTTGTGGCCTCTGTAGTAGACGTGGTCTTTATGACTTTTGGTGTTGTGGCCTCTGTCGTAGACTTGGTCGCTATAACTCTTGGTGTTGTGGCCTCTGTTGTAGACGAGATCGTTATGGCTTTTGGTGTTGTGGCCTCTGTCGTAGACATGGTCGTTATGATTGTTGGTATTTTGGCCTCTGTCGTAGACTTGGTCGTTATGACTCTTGGTGTTGTGGCCTCTGTCGTAGACGTGGTTGTTATGACTTTTGGTGTTGTGACCTCTGTCGTAGACGAGGTCGTTATGACTTTTGGTGTTGTGGCCTCTGTTGTAGACGTGGTTGTTATGACTTTTGGTGTTGTGACCTCTGTAGTAGACGTGGTCTTTATGACTTTTGGTGTTGTGGCCTCTGTCGTAGTCGTGGTAGTTATTACTTTTGGTATTGTGGCCTCTGTCGTAGACGTGGTCGTGATGACTTTTGGTGTTGTGGCCTCTGTCGTAGACGAAGTCGTTATAACTCTTGGTGTTGAGGCCTCTGTTGTAGATGAGATCGCTATAACTTTTGGTGTTGTGGCCTCTGTCGTAGTCGTGGTAGTTATTACTTTTGGTATTGTGGCCTCTGTCGTGGACGTGGTCGTTATGATTTTTGGTTCTGTGGTCCCTGTCGTAGACGTGATCGTTATGAGTTTTGATGGTGTGGCTTCTGTCGTTGACAAGGTCTTTATGGCTTTTGGTGGTGTGGCCTCTGGCGTAGACGGGATCGTTATAACGTTTGGTGTTGTGGCCTCTGTCGTAGACGTGGTCGTTATGACTTTTGGTTCTGTGGTCTCTGTCGTAGACGTGATCGTTATGAATTTTGATGGTGTGGCTTCTGACGTAGACGGGATCGTTATGACTTTTGGTGTTGTGGCCTCTGTCGTAGACGTGGTCGATATGAATTTTGGTGATGTGGCTTCTGTCGTAGACAAGGTCTTTATGACTTTTGGTGTTGTGGCCTCTGTCGTAGTCGTGGTAGTTATGACTTTTGGTGTTGTGGTCTCTATCGTGGATGAGGTCGATATGACTTTTGGTGTTGTGACCTCTGTAGTAGACGTGGTTGTTATGACTTTTGGTGTTGTGGCCTCTGTCGTAGACGTGGTCGATATGACTTTTGGTGATGTGGCTTCTGTCGTAGACGTGGTCGTGATGACTTTTGGTGTTGTGGCCTCTGTAGTAGACGGGATCGTTATGACTTTTCGTTCTGTGGCCTTTGTCGTAGACGTGGTCGTTATGACTTTTGGTGTTTTGGCCTCTGTCGTAGACTTGGTCGTTATAACTTTTGGTGTTGTGGCCTCTGTCGTAGACGAGGTCTTTATGACTTTTGGTGTTGTGGCCTCTGTCGTAGACGTGGTTGTTATGACTTTAAGCGTTGTGGCCTCTGTCGTAGACGGGATCGTTATAACTTTTGGTGTTGTGGCCTCTGTCGTAGTCTTGGTAGTTATGACTTTTGGTGTTGTGGCCTCTGTCGTGGATGTGGTCGTTATGACTTTTGGTGTTGTGACCTCTGTAGTAGACGTTGTCTTTATGACTTTTGGTGTTGTGGCCTCTGTCGTAGACGGGATCGTTATAACTCTTGCTGTTGTGACCTCTGTCGTAGACATGGTTGTTATGACTTTTGGTGTTGCGGCCTCTGTCGTAGACGAGATCGTTATGACCTTTGGTGTTGTGGCCTCTGTCGTAGACGAGGTCGTTATGACTTTTGGTGTTGTGGCCTCTGTCGTAGACGGGATCGTTATGACT